GAGACGTCTCGACGCCGGTTTACCGTCGGTTTATCGGCGTCGTCTTCTCGCAGACGCCCAGCTTCTCTCTCCCTTCTTCTGTTCGGTTTCTTGGAAACCTTGTCCCGTTCTATGTTCCGCGTATCTGTTCTGTCTCTCTATCGATCCCTTTGGCTGCTCGACCACTCTGGTTTAGCCATTTCTTTAGACGCGAGATAAGCGACGCTGATGGACCGAGCCTACGAACATAAGCGATCGAGGAAAACTTCGTTCGCGGAAAAATATCGAGGAACTAAAACTACGCGAGCTCGACTGAAAATATTCTCTACTCGGAATCGGTTCAGAGTTATTCTGTCTTAAGCATCAATCTCGAAAACTTTGACTGGTTATAAAATAGCGAAAGCGACGAGTTTCGAAAGTAATTTGAACGAGAAGAGCTGTTCGTTTTCGAGGTCACGAGAGCAACGAGACTCGAGTAGAGGAGAAATGCCGAAGCACCCTCTTCATAAGAGAAAACTACCGCCTCGTTAGAACAGCGGGATCACCTCGGGTTATCCTTTACCTTCTCGATCCCACGCCAGTAATTGAATAGAGTAGAGGACGCGGATTTGGCATTCGACTGCAGCGAAAATCTCGCCTCTGGGGCTAAAAGTGTCGACGAAGAAGACCAGGGTTCAAACGTTCGCTCTCTGGATCTCCATTTAACTCGGGTTAATTATCGGTGGACCGTTCGTCCCTACGATTTCCTTGCCTTTATCCTCCGTTCTTGCTAACGAGCCGCTGTTTTTTCAACTTATCCTTTCTCGAGAGAGTCACTTTCCACCAGAATTCTCGATCGTCGCTTCGAACTTTCTTACGGATTTCGAATTTCGTACTTCGCGTTCTTCCTATAGCGTACTTAGTTTCGCCCGCTCCGATTCACGAAATGGACTTCCTTTGTTCGATGGAGTATCGTAATATTTTCGGTTCTGTATACGAATCGATCTTCCGCCGGAATCGTCTCTTTTTTTCCATAAAAATATACACTCGCATAGATACGCACCAGTGAGCGGACTGAAGAGATACGAATTTCATGAACATCGAGGATACATAGAAATGGTAGTTGAGCAAAGACTCGCGAGAAAGTTGCGAATGTGCCACCAACGGCGAGTGCAGTAAATATCTCCACGGCATGTTACTTGATTCACCACCCGTCGAGAGGTATCCTTGATATAGAATATAGAGTAACCTGCAGATATCCATCATCCAATATGGTTGATTGTCGATATCGTTAGCAGGCTCGTGAATATCCAATAACGTTTCGAGTTTCCACGTTCTATTTTAGTCGGTTTCGCAAAAAGGATACGTGTCTAGTATTTCGAGCAGCGCTA